CTGGCGCGGGATCGGGCAGTGTTTCGTTCTGCTGTGCATGGGGTCGCTATGAGTCGGAAACGACTCGACGGCACTTAACAACAACAACGACACTGAGCATCTTTTCATGTGCTTATTGGCCATTTGCATATCTCCTTTGAGAAATGTGTAAGTCCTTTGCCCATATTTTAATTGGATTGTCTTTTTGTTGTATTGTAAAGTTCCTTACATGTTCCAGATATTAAACCCTTATTGGATGTATGTGATTAGCAAATATTTTCCCCATTCTGTAGGTTGCCTCTTCACTTTCTTGGTAAAGTCCTTTGATGTAAAGTCCTTTCCGAATTTTCATGATGTCCATTTGATTTGTCTTTTTTGCTTGTTTTTGATGTCTTAAGAACCTATTATCAAAAACTAGGTCCCATAGTATTACCCCTATGTCTTCTTCTAAGGGTTTTATGGTTTCAGTTCTTACATATAGATCATTGATACATTTTGATTTTTTATATGGTGTGAGGTATAAAAAAAACAAACAAACCCACTGCTGTAGAGTTGGATCCGACTCATAGCTATCCCTCCGTGCGTTTCCGAGGCAGTATCACGATGGAAGTAGATTGCCCAACCTTTCTTCCGAGGAGTGGCTGGTGGGTTTGAACCTCCAGCCTTCTGGTTAGCAGAAGGCTAACCTTCTGATTAGTCACATGCCTTAGGCACTACACCACCAGGCTCCTGGTGTGAGGTATAGGGTGTCTATATTTTTCACAACCACCATTTTAGTGGTTACTTTTAGGTTATAAAAAACTTTTAAGAATCAATTAGTTCTCTGATCATTTACTAGACTGTAATATGTGACATTGAAGCCCATGGGGTGAAGTAAGTCTGATGCTACAGTGGTAGAGCAAGGGAGCTCTGTTTCCCGAGTTCCACACCTAGATTCCTGCCCAACTAATGTTCCCTGAAGATTTCGAAGCTTGGGCTGATTAGCATCAAATTAAACACAACCCTAGCTAATTTAGTTTCTGTGCACTTAGGATGAAGAGTGGTCTAGGTTGGAGGAAAATGTATAATTTACACTGTATTTTCCTCCATAATGGAGACATTGTATTATTAATTATAGCTTATTGCTTCCAAGTAACAGATACCAAGTCCAGCCAATTTTAGCACTAATAAGGAATTCATCCTAAGGATACAGTGACATGTCATGGAACCCAGACGGAATGCAGCTGGCCTCACCAATACGTTGGCACCAGGGCCTGGGGAACTGTCAACATTCTGACTCTCAGATATGCTTTTATGCAGTTGCTGCTTCTTTTTTAGTTAATTTTAGATTCCAAGGGAAGAGACTGATTGGCTCAGCATGAATGAGAAACTCAGCCCTGGCCTAGGCACTTGTGGCCAGAGGAGGCATAGCATAGACTTGGTGCCCTGAAAGCGTGGGGTCTTCTGTTTCCAATCTTAGAAGTTATTGTACTGATGTAGTGTACTGTCAAAGCCCTGTGGATGTGAAGGGGGCATACTCAGGAAGGGGGAGCTAATCAGCCAACTGAATTTGTCCTTTTATAGTAGTAAGGAGGGTCTGTTGCCTCTCAAAGGCAATGGGAGGGCACAAATATATGTTAGGTATGCTAAAACCAGGAGCTCTGGTAGCGTAGTGCCTAAGGCACTTGACGGCTAACTGGAAGGCTGACAGTTCAAACCCACCAGCCACTTCTAGGAAGGAAGATGGGGCAATCTACTTCCGTAGTGATACTGCCTCAGAAACCCAAGGAAGGGTCGCTATGAGTCAAGTCCGACTCGATGGCACACAACAACAACATGCTAAAAGCAGAATGACCAATGTACTGTTTGGCTACAAATAACAAAATCAAAGCAAGACCAGTCTGAGACCTCATCCTGATCAGGACTGTCTGCAACCTTTTAGCTGCTCTGGAACTGTAGACGGTGGGTGAGGAAGGAATAGCTGCCAAGAATGTTGATTAGTGCCTGTCAAAATGTGTGCACTCATCACCCAGAAAAACTTGATTGGTGATCAACTGGAATTCTGTACAAATGATGCAGAATGTCTATAATCCACCAAATAATGTGCAATAAAACATAACATGAAGCCTAACTGCTCTGTGGCTTTACATGTATTTGGAAACCTAAATCAATACTCTCTGAGAAGCTTCTTAGGGGGAAAAGATTAAATAATGCCTTCTGTTCTAGAAAAGAGGCAAATACAGAACCAAAATTGTTTTGTGTATATTGTTTTCTTCTCGGGAGACTGAACTCCTTAGGGGTAGGGCCCACTCTATCTTAGAGGGCCTGGTATGTCCTGAATTAACATTTGTTGCCTCAATAGTTGTCACAGGTGGAAGAGGAAATGATGGTAAGAAATCTGCTTGCTAGGCTCAAATAATCTCAGAATAATTAGAGAAGAAAGAGAAACAGCCAGACATATTCTTTTCAAGATAAAAACTTTATTTTACAATTTTAAAAAGCAGCTTTACATCAAGCACAAACAATCCATTTACTTTGTATAGAAACAAAATACCTTTCCATCTGCAAAAAATCAAGTTTTGCTGTATATAAAACTAACATGTGCACATTGTGCTTAAACTGCAAAGTCTGTACAGCTTTTACAAAGGACTACCCTTTAGAAGGGCATCCAGTAAACACTTTATTGCATATTTAACACATGGTATATAACCCACATGTACAATGGAGGAGGAACAAGAGAAACAATTACAAGGAGGATAAAAATAGCAGCTTTCAGTGAAAGTTTTCACACTGAACAAGAAAAAGGATGGCCACATCTTGAGAGTTGTGCTTGGGTGTCACACTGCATGTGCTCACGTGCCCTGGATGAAGCCTTTATTTATAACAACTCCTAAAGGGTCAAACTCAGCTTTCACCTGGAAACTTTTGGCTGGTTTTACAACTGACATGGTAATAGATTTAATTTAACATCACAGCTAACTCAAGATATATGATAAAACAAAACTAAAACCTATAATCTTGAAACAGGGGAAAATGTGAAGAAACAAAACAAAATAAACTTTTAAAATACCCTCCCATTCTCTCTAAGCTCAGAATAAGTAAACATTTTATGATTTAAAAATGCAATGGATAGTCTACGGCAGTGTTCCTTCCTCCAAGTTTGTCGCCAGATCACCTGCGTCAGAAAACACCTCAAAGCTCCTGGAAAAGGCCTTTGAAATCAGGCTTCACAGGCAGATTAAATACCTGGGAATCTGCATTCCAGTAAGCTCTCTGGGTGATTCTGTAGCATCCCAACGTTTGAGAACCACTGGTTTGTACGGACAATGCTGCTTACAGGTTCAACTTATCCTCTTAGAAAAATTCTGGGATCAAGAGAAAAATCAAGTTGCTGTTGCAATGTGGAAGGCAGTGTGAAACTAACAACAGTGAAATAGCAGTGCCATTTCTAGATCGACATGTCTTTCCTTCTTCAGTGCACAAGTGCAGCCGCATTGTTAAGGCACTGATATGTGTTACAGAAGCAGTCCCATACTCTTCTCACTGATCCCCCTAATCTGAAGCACCAGCATGCAAACACAGAGCAGAAGTCTAGACAACTGAAAACAACAACAAAACCATTACAATGAAGGAAAAGGGTCCCCAGATTGGAGGAAGCTGATGTTTGAATGTTGGCCTCGAGATTTTATAAAAATAAAAGAGTCCCAATACTCTTGCTGAGACATCTAATGTATAAGAACCACATAGGGCAAAGCTAGGGAAAATCTAATGACCCACAGCTATTTCTACTGTGGGCAAAATAAAAAATTGTGGTCACATAAAGTGGCAGTTTAAGCTTAATTTTCTATTGTCGTCAGTGTAGATTTACATCTTCTTCTTCACTCCTGTCCTGTCTTGCCATTTTTTTTTCCCCCTTCCTTCTAAGCAGTGCTTGGTCGGCTGAACAGTATGTAGGCAAGCAATCCACATGGCTCCTGATGTGCATTTGATATAGATCACAGCTAAACTGCATTGTGTTTGTCACACTTGGTGCTTGGAAAGGGTGGGGGCTCATGTTTCCAATCTGTAGAAGTTACAGTATTGATTTAGGGTACTGTCATACACTAAAACAAAAGCTGGAGCAAAACCAACCCCATCAGTTTTAACCTAATGCCTGAAGCCTTACAGGAGGCACTGCCCATGGGATGAGGGCTATGAAACCTATTCACGTGAGGTATAGTTGGACACATAAACCTCAGTAAAGGTCTGATCACACGTGCACAACAAATGCAGTAGCATCTCTTCTACCCAGTAGCTGGAATAATTTAAAATACAATTGCAAAGGAAAAACAATACACAGGTCAGTTTAGTGGTCTAGAAGGTTGATGACCAAGAATGATCAAAGTAGGAAAAAACCCTGCTATGATTCTTGTATGTAATATTTGACCTAGTACTTTTCTTTGAAGGGGTAAAGAAAAAAACAAACAAACCAACCAAAAAACCCTGAAAGGGCAGTGGTGATGGATTTATCAAAATTACTAGCTCCTTCCCACATTTAGGCTTGTAATAAAATTTCCCAAATAGTGTTATACCAAAATGGACAAAACTCTCAAGTGTAGTCTGAAATGAAACACAAAATTCTAAATGACAACAAAAACCAACTATCACGATGGGGAAAAGGAAGTGGAAGGACAGATTGATTATCAAACCTTTACTGATTGTAGAGCAAGTTTCAAAAAACAGACATTTTTGTGATTTCTTGTGCAGTCAACAAGTTTCATTTTAGTTGTGCTTACATTATATAACTGTGAAGCCTGAACATTGGTTGTGTTTTTAATTTACACGTTTCAAGAGAACCATAAATTCAAAATACTCTCAATATATCACAAATTGAACTAGTGCAACAAATGCTCATTTGCCCCCAAGAAATTAATCTATAGAAAAGAAACATCTTTTTAAAAAGTTGCACAATCCACTATCCAGGCTACAAGTACATATTTACTGTATCATAGCACATTAATTTTTTAACATAAATAGTCACATTTTAAAAGTGCTCCATACTAAGTTTTCAGGTACCTGCCAGACAGTTGGCCAGTATCGCTCCTCACTGTGATCTTTCCCCAGGTGAGTGACTGGTCTAGCTGTGGAACCATAGAGAGTAATAACTAAGGTAAACGAAAACATCTTTGTTCAGCCCATTAACTAAACACTCCTCTGCTCTAACTGCCACCTAAACACCCAGCCCATGGAATGCAGCTATCTCAGAAGACTGGTTTTAAGGATCACTTATCACTTTGTTGTAGGCCACAAAAACCCAGTATACAACCTTTTAAAATGTGCTGAAGCTTTGCTGAGAGCCCAGCAGTGTCTGTGGACAGCAGAGGCAGACAGATGATTTTGGTTGTGAGCTCTAGTTGTGCTTTGCCCTGCTGCCTTTAAGGTAGCTCTTCCACCTCTTGACAAACTCTTTGAAGATTGGGGATTCATCAATGGTACTGAGTAGCTGCAGTTGATTGATGTGGGTGGTATGATAGTCCCAGCGGGCCAGGTTGGGAGCGATGCCAAGCATGAAGTGACGGAGGTCATAGATGGTTCCTGAGCCAGTGTCATACAAGGGGAGCATGGCTTTAAGGGATTCCATTCCCCGCTCATACAAGGCCCTTGCTTCTCTCCCGAGTTTCTCCCCTGCAGTTTCCTTTAAGTCATACAGCCCAATTAAAGAATACATAAAGCCATTTAAAACAAAAGAGCTAGGTGTGGTTGGATATTCTTCATACCAGTCATGTTTATTCATAAACACAGCTTTCACTCCATGTTGCTCTGATAGAAACTTGTAAGGGGCTGTTGCCCTTAAAGCTGAATTGAGGAATAATTGGTCTTTTGTTAACAGATAGGCCCTGACTAATGTAGAAATGGCTTGCCCTTGGGCCATTGCAGAGTACCACCCTGGCTCTAAAGACTTGAACCCTTCCCCTAACTTCCGTGTCACCATAATTGGCCAGCCACCTTTCTCATCCTGGTTCCTTACCAGCCAATCACTGGCAGCGAAGAATGCGGCCATGTGCGCTGTGGTAGAGATGGTAATGTTGTCCAGGAATCCTTTCCCTTTTGCAATCAACTTGACCACCTTCTTGGGCATTATTTTGGTTGGCTTGACAGCTTTTGTGTTGGAAAGACCCACCCCTTTCCTGAGGTCAGTAACCAAGTCCCTGGTAACTGTGCTCCATGAAGTTCTAGGTCCAATGCCATAGTATATGTCTCTTTCTTTAAAAGCAATTAGCTGGGTATTTGAGACATAATGTACAGTGAAGAGCTGATTCTTTTCTGTGGTCTCTAGAACCACGGACACACTTCCATTTGTCAAGAACTTGAGATCAAATGAAATAATGAAATCTTTTGTGTTCCCCAGTTGTAGAGACACACCATCACTGGTTTCTGTAGAGGGGAAATATACCAAAAAAAGAGATGTTAGAAAAGCAGCTCTTCTATATTTAAAATTTAGCTGTACTTCATCTCTAACCACCATTGGCTATCCAAAATTAGCACTTCAACTTTCTGCATGTCAGATCATTATTTATTTAAAGAAATTGACCATAAACAAATAACTTCATGAGTTGTTGGCTTGTGAGCATTAGGCCAAGGTGCTTATCTTTTGCCCTCTCTGGATTACATTACAGGATTAAGAGCAAATGGCTAAGAAATTAATCAAGCTGCCTTTTCTAAAGTTAATGCTGGCTGATCAACAGTCAATGACCTGTTCTAGTGTATTCATTTTGCAAAAAGAAAAAAATAACTGAAAGCTGGCTAGGTTAGGAGAAGAGTCATTATGTATGACTTTTAAAGTTATTATTTAGTTAACAGTTAATATGCATTTACTGTGTGTTAGGCACTGTTCTCTACCACCTGTCCGTCAGTTTGTCATACTGGGTGGCCTGTGTATTGCTATGATGCTGAAACCTCTGCCACTAGTATTTCAAATACTAGCAGGGTCACCCATGATGGATGAGTTTCAGCAGAGCTTCCAGATGAAGACAGACTAGGAAGAAAGGCCTGATGATCTACTTCCTAAAACTAACCAATAAAAGCCCTAGGGATACAAGAGAATATTACCTGATATAGGCTGGAAGATGAGCCCTCAGATTGGGAGGCACTCAAAATATGACTAGGGAAGAGCTGCCTTAATGATGTGGATGGAGTAAAGCTTTCAGAACTTTCATTTGCTTGATGTGGTGTCACTCAAAATGAGAAGTTATTAGCTGTAAACATTCATTAGCAATCAGAATATGTAATGTACAAAGTATGAATCAGTAAAAATTGGAAGTCATCAAAAATGAAACATAACACTTGAAGACTGATATCCTTCCTAGGCACCATCAGTAGTTGAAATGTACTAATATTAGCCATTTTGAATCCAACAATCATATGGTCTGCTATGCTGAGAATGACAAATGAAAGAGAATCAGTGTTGTATTCATTATCAAAAAGAACATCTCAAGGTCTGTCTTGAAGTACAGCTCTGTCAGGAAGTACATATGCCTTCAAAGAAGGCCAGTTAATATACTGATTACTCAAATTTATGCAACAACCACGAATGCCAAAGATGAAGAAATGAAAGATTTTTAACAACTGTTGCAGTCTGAAATTGATCAAAAGCATATTGATAATTACTAATGATTAGAATTCCAAAGTTGGAAACAAAAAAGAATGATCAGCAGTTGGAAAATATGGCCTCAGTGATAGGAACAATGCTGGAGATTCCATGATAGAATTCTGCAAGATCAATGGCTTATTCATCAGAAATACCTTTTTTTTTTTTCCAATACAAACAGTGACTATACACATGGATCTTGCTGGATGGATTGCACATTCCACAAAAGGACTACATCTGTAGAAAAAGATGATGGAGAAGCTCAATATTATCAGTCAAGACAAAGTCACAGGCTCACTGTGGAACAGATTATTAACTCTTCATATGCAAGTTCCAGCTGAAGCTGAAGCTGAAACTGAAACTGAAGCAAATCAAAGCAAGTCCACAAGCAGCAAAATATGATCATGAATTCATTCCACTTGGATTTCGAAACCATCTTGAAAATAGATTTGAAGCACCGAACACTAAGGACCAAAGACCAGAAGAGTTGTGGGAAGAAATCAAGGGCATTACACTGAAGAAACTCATTAAAAACACAAGAAATAAGGAAAGGATCAAAACAGATGTAAGAAGAAACTCAGACATTTGCCCCAGCAGCCTGGGGGGTAAGTGGAGTGGCAGTGGCTACACAACCCCAGTTTGTGAAAGTTCTTGCACAGGCACCTGGCATGTGCCCTCCCCATTGCCAACATGCCCAAGAGGAAGCTCAGTGAGGTTGTCAGCTAAACTTGCTCCTGCAAAAGAGGAAATGAAGCTATCTACAAGAGGCAGCAGAAAAGGATAAACCTTCAAACAAAAAAGTGTAAACAAAAAGGAAAAGGGGAGCAAAGGGAGAACAGGCTGAAGTGGTTAACCAAGAAACTAAAGATTTACCGAGAAAACGAGAAACTAATGAGCAGAGCCCAGCCTCTGATGATGTAGGAGAGAAAGAAGCGAAGGCTGATTTATGTTTGTCTATCAAGTCTTCTCTTTGGTCCCTTATCTCCCCCTTCCTTATACAATCCTGAGGAATATTTTTATCAACTCTTTTGTAAACACAAGTTTTTTAGTAGCTCTAAAAACAATTTTGAGGAGGAGGAAATCCCACTTCATCCCATTTTTTAAGTGTAAATGCTTCTTTTTTAAGTGGTGAAATCACTTGCAGGTTGTTTATTTTTCTGATATAACCAGAATATAGTGGGATGCTGAATTGTGGAAGGCTTTGACTGCCTTGGGTGTCAGTGTAGGGGTGGGGAAGGCAGATTATATATCCCATAATACAAAACATATTTAATGCAATTTGGAGTTGCAGTCATGCATTTCATGACTTGAACATTTTAATTATTTCTATTTCTATGTTTTTATTTATTTATTTATATATTTTTTAAGTAGGATTGTTTCTTAAAACCATTCCCTTAGCATGGCTCTCTCCATCAGAACTGTGTGTATTTATAACATCTTTGGTCATGGTAGTCCAGTTTCTCTAATAACTCTGTTATGTGCTATGAAAGGTTGAAAATTTGAGTGCGTAGTATATGTAATATTAAACTGTAAATTAGTGGGACTTATGATGTAACAACTTATCAGCAATTAAAGGTATTGGTACTTGACATCCTCTTAAGGAAAATTTGCCTCCGAATTTAATGCTGGAAGTCACTAGAATTTAGAAAAGAATTAGAATGACATGGCTTTTTAGAGTTTTGGTGTGTATATTAAGAATTGTGCACAAATTATTCAAAATGTCTCAGTCCTGACTCTTAAAACAACCAATAAAGTATCACTGATGAAAAGACAAAAAGAAAGAAACTCTGACAGTTGTTTTTAAGCACACAGAAACTAAAGCAAATGGAAGAAATGATGAAGTAAAAGAGCTGAACAGAAGATTTCAGAAGTGGCTTGAGAAGACAAAGTAAAGTATTATGACAAAATGAGCAAAGACTTGGAGTCGGAAAACCAAAAGAGAAGAACATCATTGCCATTTCTCAAGCTGAAAGAATTTAAGAGAAAATTCAAGCCTCAAGTTATGATGTGAAAGAAATCTATGGGCAAAAAAATGGAATGATGCAGAAAGCATCAAAAAATGAAAAAGAATACACAAAATTACTGCACCAAAAAGAATTGGTTGACATTTAGCCATTTCAAGAAGTAGCAAAAATTAAGACTGCTGGTACTGAAGGAAGAAGTTCAAGCTGCACTGGAGGTACCGGTGAAAAACAAGTCTCTAGGAATTGACAGAACACCAAATGAGACATTTCAACAAATGATGCAATGCTGGAAGAGCTCATTCTTCTAAGCCAAGAAATTTAGAAGGCAGCCATCAAGCCAACCAACTGGAAGAAATCCATATTTGTGCCCATTCCAAAGAAAGGTGATCAAATAGAATGTGGATATTATCAACCAATATCATTAATCTCACATGCTAGCAAGCGGATTCAGAAAATAACGTGGAATGAGGGATATTACTGTGGTATCAGAAGGATTGGCTGAAAGCAGAGAATACCAGAAAGAAGTTTTGTTATCAACTATGCAAAGACATTCAACTGGGTAGAACATAACAAATTACAAATTAACATTAAGAAGATCAAGGATTCCAGAACACTTAACAGTTGGTCATACAAAACCTGTACATGGATCAAAAGGCAGTTGTTTGAACAGAACAAGGGGATACAGTGTGGTTTAAAATTAGAAAAGGTATATGGCAGGGTTGCATCCTTTCATCTTACTTATTTAATCTGTATGGTGAACAAATAATCCAAGAAGTTAGTATGAAGAATGTGGCATAAGAGACCTCGGATAAGCAAAGCACTACTGAAGAAGAAAAACAAAGTAGGAGGTCTCACATTGCCGGATCTCAAAACCTACTATACAGCCACAGTAG